TGTCTCTTGTCTGTGTGTGTGTGTGTGTCTGTGTCTGTGTCATGCCGAGCCCCTCCTCCCTCCCCTGCAACCACATGAAAATTGAAAAGAGACAGAGCCACCTGCAAAAGCCCTGAAGAGGCAGCTGAGCCTCTGCAGGAAAAAGCCAGACAGTGCAATTCGGGGCTCCTGCCTGCCACATCCCAGCTGTGAAAGTGGGAGGCGACCACCTGGCGCACCCAGTTCTCGTCTTAATGCTTCGTGGCGGAGATGCCAGGCTCAGAAGCCCCATGTTTGCATCTCTTTCTGCCTCGGCTCTTCTGAAGCTGGCAGGTAGACCAGACAGGAAACACGACCAGCTACGCTGATTCTACTTCATTATCAAGCTACAAAGTGAACAGAATCTGGAACAATTCCCTTTTACAGCCCCAAAAATCTAGATAAGGGTCCCTTCTGAGCCTCCACCCATTATATATCTGTGGACTCTGCTGTCTCTTATCTATCCATTCTCTTGGCTCCGTCTCCCAAGGCCATTCCCGCAGACCACTACAGAGGCCTCTCAACCAGTAGCCTTTTCTGTTAATCAGGGGAGGCTGGGAAAGACATCCCGGCGGTGACAAGGCTCTCCCAAAAAGTTGATTCACAGTCCGACTCAATCCCGAGAACAGGAATCCGAACCCAAAGTTGAAAAGTGCGGCTCAGACTTGTGAGGCGAAGGACAAATTTGAGCGCGAGATGCTCAGCCACTCGGAGTGTTTCCATCGAGCCTTCCCGCAAAGAGTTACATTGAAAGGTCCAGAAAGCAGGGCCGCTAACCCCGGAGGCGTCCTTGATCTTTTAATTTTTGGGAGAGAGAGAGCAAACGTCTCTCTTGAGCTTCGTTAAGTACCATCGCTTCCACACTCACCTGGGCTGAGTATTTGGCTCGTAGACGGCCGGCCTCACAGCCCTTGTCGCATACCCGGACCTGTCGGGCCTGCTCCAGTTCCCGCTTGAGCCGTATCCGAGACTCGTTGGCCTCTTTCATCTTCTTCTCGTTCTCCGCCCGGAGGCGTTCGATCTCCTTCCTCAGGTTGCGCTTGGCTTCCGTTGCCTCCCTCAACTTCTCTTTCTTGGCCACGCGGAGGAACTCCAGCTCCTGGGACAACAAGGTGTATTAACAGCGGAAGGGCCCGGGGGAGGAGGAGGAAGAGTATTGGGGGGGGGAAATGCCCCTTTGGCTCACCTACGAATCTGACTTCCTCCAGGACACTGCAACCGTCATAAATATGAAGCGGCTGTCAAGCATCCAAATGGACCATATTTTTTGGAGTATAAGCATCCAAATGTACCGTATTTTTCGGAGCATCTTTTCCCCTCAAATAAGAGGCTGAAAATCTGGGTGCATCATACACTGAATACAGCATTTTTAGGCTCCCAAAACCCTGCCCCCTTCACCAAAATGGCTGTGCATAGCCTTTAGGAGGCTTCCAGAGTGCTCCTGGAGGCAGGGGAGGGCAGAAATGAGCAGAAAACAGACCATTTACCCCCACCCCCACGAGCACTATATAAGCCTCCTAAAGGCTATGCGTGCCCTTTTTTTGACAAAAATACGGGCCCATTTTTGCAAAAAATGGGCTGTTTCTGGGAGGTCTGCAGAGTGCAAAAGCCTTTTTTTTTTAATTTGCTTCTTCAAAATCTTGGTGCATCTTATACTCCGGTGCATCTTATACTCTGAAAAATATGGTAAATCATGTGACCATGGAGACGCTGCCAAGGTCATGTCACATTTTTTTCAGTGCCGCCGTAAGTTCAAACAGTCACTAAATGAACTGTTGTATGTCAAGGAACTGTAACACAACCCCATCCAATCTGAGCTTCAAGGATCCAGCTGGACCATTTGAAGCAGCGGAGAGTGAAATGGGACTGTCCCCACCCCCACCCCCCGAGACGAGACTTGAATCTAGTGCTACTGGGGTCCCTTCCATGCCATGGGCTCCGGGTGCTCCCCCCCCCCAATTACCTGGTGGAGACTGCGCTTGGCCTGCAAGGCGGCGTTGAGCTTCTCCTCCTGCTTCACCCTCATCTTCACCACCTCGTGGAGGAATTTCTCTTTGGCTTCTTTGGTGTCCAGGCCGCCATCCAAGGCCTGCCTCAGATGCTCCAGCTCAGCTTCCAGCCCGTTGGGCCCGTTCTGAGGCTCGGCGTGACTTGACACTTCAAAGACGGCGTTGCCGGCGGCGGGCTGGACTTGCAGGCTGGGGGAATTCATATCCTTGGCTGAACCCGAAGAGGTGAAGGACGGCGAGGAGAGCGAGGACAGGGAGGAAGTGACTGCAGAGAGAGGGAAGGAAAGAAGCCGCGGCAATGAGCCTCATCCTCAGGCAATGTGTGGGGCTTGTGGGGAGCATAAGTCAAACCCTGTTTCACCGTCATGCCCTATAACAGTGATGGCTAACCTTTTTGTCCTCGCGTGCCGAAAGCACATGTGCACCGTGCCCACACCCATAATACAATGAGTCCGTGAACCCCCAGCCCTTCTGCACATGCGTACACGACCACCTATGCACTCCCCTCATGCATGCCCGCATAGCCCCCCGCGCTCTGTTCTGGGTCTAGCAGGCCTCCCTTGAAGCCCCCCTGTGCATGTGTACGCTGTTACAGGTGTTATATCGGCCTTGTATGCAGCTTTATTCCTCTCTAGCATTCATCTCCGTTGTTCAGTGATGCATTTCCTGCCCCTCTAGGATTTACCTCTATCTGCTCCTGCGAGGCCCTTCCTATGGGATGTACTGTTTATAGTTACATTCTCAATCAGCTGGTCAGCAGGAGGCGTGCCCATGCACAGTGGAGCTCAGCTGGGGTGCCGGTTCGCGTGCCGGCAGAGAGCGTGCCACCTGTGGCATGCATGCAATAGGTTTGCCATCCTGGCCCTATAACCATAAAGGTAGGGAGTGCGAGTGCGAAGAAACACAACACATTGGCTGGAAGCGTGTCATGCACTTCTGTCTCTGAAACAGGACATATTTCGACTGTGTGAAGCTGAGACCAGCATTCGTTCAACCTTGCAGAATAGTGGCGCTGAACAGCACTCAAGGAAAGTCCCGTTCTCTCTCTGGCCACCACCTCCAGACGGGCCTGAAGCCCCAGGACCGCCTTCCAAAGGCAGTTTGCTTTTTCAAAAGTTCAACCGATTGGAAGGATGGCTTGTAGCATGAAATTATTGTAGGAGACAATAAGCCCGAGGGAGGGAGGAGTCAAATGCGTCATCAGTCGTGAGTCCCTGCGCTCCCACAAGAGATCTAAGCCTAGCCCTTCTTGAATTCCATCTAATTCTTATCTCCCGCTACTTCCCCTTGACTGTTAGTAGTTCTGGTTCTTACAATAATTTTTAATACTCATTTGAACTGCCTCGATCTCCTGATTTTCCCTGGTGCTTGACAATTAGTGGACCACCAAATCCATTTTTTTTTCCTCAGCCAAAGTGGCCAAGGATTTTCCTCCCCTTTGAAAAAGCCCCACTTACACTCTTCTCGGGTTTCCACTTCTATCTCGGCTTCAGATTCCTTCTCTTCTTCCGCGGCAGGGACGGGAGGGACGACGGTGGGCACGGCTGCGGCAGGGGGCGGTGGTTCGGGCACAACTGTGTGTTCGGCGACGTGTTTCCTTTTCCGGAGCTGGGGAGGGCTGCTGAGGGGCTCGGCGTTCTGCAAGGCAGCCGGGGGGCACAGTGGGTTGCTCACGATCTTTGGCTGAGGAGGGGGGGCCAGCGCCACGTTGGGTGCGACGGAGTTCTCAAAACTTTTATATGAATAGCAACTGTGCAAGAAAAGAAGGCTGGGTTACCTCGCAAGCCCCCACAAAGCTATTTTGGGGTGACTCATTAGAGGAAATCGCTCCTTGGGAAGGTTTCTCATTAACGCAATGAATCATCAAAAGGTTTAATTGCCAGTTTTTAAAAGTTCCCTTCTTCACCGGGCAAACTAAGTCTTTATTTTGCTGCCCCAAAATTTTAAAGAGACAAAGTAACATAGTTATCTTTTTTTTAAAAAAAAAAGTTAGGAAATATATAGGTAGTTCTTGACTTACGACCACGATTGAGCCAAAAATCTCTGATGCTAAACAAGATGGTTGTAAGGTGAATTTTGCCCCTTTCACTGCAGTTGTTAAATTAAGAATGTGAACCTGGCTTCCCCATTTGACTTTGCTAGTCAGGAGGTCGCAAAAGGGAATCACATGACCCACCCCCCACAACGCAGCAACCGTTGTAATTTTTGAATCCGCTGCCAGCAATCACACAACTATGTGGGCATCACAATGTTTGAACATAAGTGGTTCCTATTTTTCTACTTGCATTTTTTTACGCGCTTTCGAACTGCTAGGTTGGCAGAAGCTGGGACACGTCATGGGAGCTCACTCTGTTACGCAGCACTAGGGATTCGAACTGCAAAACAGCTGGCCTTTCTGGTCGACAAGCTAAACATCTTAGCCAGTGAGCCACCACATCCCTCAGCCTTCTTAGAAGCTGGGGCAAGTAACAGGAGCTCACTCTGTTAGGTGGCGCTGGGGATTCGAACCACCAATCTGCTGACCTTTCTGCTCGACAAGCTCAGCGTCTTAACCACTGGCTGTGACCATAGACACAATTTATTCATCTGACCCATCAACCTCTCTAGCTCAACCGAGTGATATTACCCTACGCTCCAAAAGTCTTAATTTTATACCCCCAATCCTGTCTGTAGCATCTTAATTGTGCCCAGATATGAAGATCTTGTGGCGTTGATGCTCCCTGTGGGATACTTTTCAGAGCCCTTGCATTCAGGTAACGCACCTGGCCACCTATTAAATATAACGGCCTTCAAATTTCGGCTCTGGGGGAAAACTCTTCTTCTTACCTGTCTCTAATTAATGTCGGGATGTGGTTGGCGACGTCCTTCTCGCTGGCTGAAACGGCGGGGGACCAGGGCCGGAATGCAGAAAGACGCTGCCGCGGATGAAGACACCCAATATTCTGATTTTGTTAAAAAAAGAGATGAGGAAAAAAACCCCGTAGGAGACAAATGGATAAAACAAAGATATAGCAAACGACTGACTGGATGGAGACTGGAAAGGGATCGAGTTTTGTAGATCCAGGCTTCAGAATCTCTGAAAGGCTGAAAGCAGAAGGCTTATCCCTAGGACAGGGATGAGCAACCTGCGGCTCCGGAGCTGCAAGTGGCACTTTCATCCCTCTGCTGTGGCTCCCTGTCGGTGGTTGGCTCCACAATTGATAGGGCTTTCGGTTAGGACAGATAGAGGAAAAAGGATGCTGCGCTAGAAGGAGACTCTATTGGGGGGGGGGGGAGGAACGGACTTCTGATCGGCTTCCAGTTAGGATTTTTATGGCTCTTTGAGTGTTTAAGGTTGCCAATCCCTGCTCTGGGTAAATGGTACCAAGGTTTGTGAGTGTTGCGTACCGCACAGAAGCAAGGGTGTGCAGAGCCTACTGGCCCAACATCACACTCCAATAAATGAAGCCAATGCAAAGCTATCCAGACTCAAATCCAACCAAGGGCCATTTTGGGGGTGCTGCCCCTTTCAGCCTTCAAAACCTGACATCTTTCCCCCAAAACTCACCTTACTGGATGAATTGGACAAGGATCGTAGCCAGCTGGACTGCTTGTCCTTATCCCCAAGTAAGGGAGACTGCAGGGCATCGTCTGTTTTGAGTTTCTTGGGGACAAGCGGATCGGATGGGACCTGAAAGGGGAAGAAAAAAAGGACTTATTTAAAAAAAAAACATTGGTTATTTTCCACTGCATTAAAAAAAAAAAAGAACAAACATCTGTCAAAGGAGGGCCAATATTACGACCAACCGGATCCAGTTTGTAGCCTCTTCCACCGCTTCACGAAAGCTGCTTCCCCCCCACCCCCAATTAATAAAGAAACCCCCTTTTCCTCCTTCACTAGAAAACGGGGAACGAAGAAGAGAAAATTGGGTCTGAGGTTAAAACTCCAAATGCGAGCATCCTAACATGGCACCCTTCATCAGTCCCTGCAGGGTCTCCAAACAAAATGTTTCCAAAGAAGTTTAACTAAAAATTCGGCAGGAAGTTAAAAAGCCTGAACTTGTATCGACGGCTGCAAATACAGATATTTTGCTTCTTCTGTACCTGGCATGTACAAAGAAAGTCCACTTTTGAGCACAAGAGAGGTCTCAAAACACATTGGGTTACGGCAGGCAGTACTGTTGGTTCGCTCATGTGGGGGCCCCGCACGCATGCGCAGTGCGATTCAAATTGTTCTCCGCATGCGCAGAACCGAAAAACAAGATGAACCGGAGAACCAGTTCAGAGGCGTAGCAGGCCTGGGTTGCTGTCGATTCCAGCAGCCCAGGCCGCCAAACTTATTACTACCAGTTCAGCTGAAACGGTCCAAAACGGTAGGAACCCACGTCAGTTCGAGCCCACCTAAGACTGTAAACACCAATCGTTTGAAAGGATGTGTTTCCAACGGTTCCTAAATCTGAGCTCCATATATATTGTAGAAAAAACAGCAGCAAACCAGTTCAGCTCACTGTCAAATCCCCTGGCAACGGGTCCAATCCGAGAGGAGATCTATTTAATTATATTTCGGCAGAAACTTGTACCGGAGAGGCCCTTCCGTGCAGCTAACCTGACTTTTCCCAAAACCAAATACTTCTCGAAGATACATTAATAAAACTATCATTATGAGGTTTTCCAGAAGATGCTTTTTCTTAAAGGATGAGATTTAAGGAGAGGGGGGAAAATAAAACGACCCAGCCAAAGAATTTTGCAAACTGCGTGCCTGGCTAATTGGAAAAGGAAAGGTGAACCTTAAAGACGGGGCCGGCTGGTTCTGGAATCGGAGCAGGGGGAATCGTGATGCAAAGAACCCAGACTTTGTTATTCTGTTTGCAGCGGTTGTTAAGGCGATGACTTCACAATGCCGCAGCTGCAGCAGAATCTGCTGGCCGCTTGCCGAGATCCCGCTATGCCTCTTCCACCAGTCGCTCCGATCGCTCGGCCTATATATCACCGGGCCAGAATGGGGGGTGGGGAGGGAAGGGGAAGAAATCCCTCTGGCCCATCACCACCTCCAGACTTTTCCAGGGCCATTCCGAGGGTTTCTTCCTCCCCCCCCCCTCCCCACTTGACGTGGGGTCTCTTGGGGCAGGAAGGAAATCCCCATCTGCTCCAACGAGGCAGGATCCTCGAGGGATCCCACCTACCTGAAACCCTCTCATTTTTGTCCCTCTCCACCTTTCCTATTAGGAAGACCAGCTGATGGCTTTTCGGGATTCGGAGCCAGATCGGATGGCCAAAGAAGCAACTGGGTTCTTTGAGAATCTACCAGGCCAAGGAAGCCCCCTCCTGCACCTCCGTCTCCCAAACTTGCCCTGTGCACTCGCAAGAGGTCCGGTCTAGGTTCCAGACCCCCCTTGCTTTGATTTAAACCAACCAAGATGGTTTGCGTTTGCCCCGGGAGTCTTTGCACACCAGGGCCGACGGGGGATCTTTTTTTCCTGCTGCTCCTCCTCCTGCGGCTGCATAGGAAAAAGGAAACGGTGACAGCATCCGAATGCTATTTGGCAAATGCTGCTGGTCCCAGCCCAGCCGGCCTGTGGGGATGGCTGAAGGGGAGGGGGAGGAGGAGGGGGGGACGGAGAAGCAGGTGGCGGAGCTCAGAACAGGGGCCTGTTCTTTCCTACCATCCCCTTTGGGGGAGGGGGGAGTCTGACACTCCCCCCCCCTCTTTTTTTCCCCCCGGTCCATTTTTGCTCCGCAGGAAAGAGATTTCTTTTGCAGATGGGAGGGAGGGGGAGGGGGTAGTTTTTTTTGGGGGGGGAGGTAGATGGCAGATCCCACAGTCTTGGCAAAAGAGCCTCTTTTCTGGGATGGATGGGTTTTACTATTATTTATTTATTAAACTTCCCCGCGCCACCCCCTCGGTCTCTCATCCGTAAGGCAACTCCAGCAGGGCAACAAAAATGATTTTTAGAAAAGGTTAATGTAGCAGTCAAGAAGAGGAAGACGACTTTTAAAGAAGAGACAAAACCAATTAATTGCACACACATACAGACACCCCCCCCCCCCGAATGCCAACCAATCAGGCTTTGGCAGGTAACCACGAACTTTCTCGTGGTTGTTCCTTTCGACTTTGTGACATCCAAAGTTAAAAATTGTGGAAAAGTCAGGCTGCCAATCAACCGGCCATCAGTCACTTCTTTAGGTAAATAGCCAGCCAATCAGAAAGGATGTCTGAGACCCCCTTGGGTGAAGTCCCATTGCCCCCTCCCCATCAGAGAGGCCGGACAATTGGACACACGCAAAAAAACGGCAAGATGGTGCGTTTCCGAAAAATGACAAGACCAATGGTGCTGCTATCCCAGCACGCTGCAGTCCCCATCATGCCCTTCCCAGTAGGGCATGGTCGCCTCCCATCCCACAGTTGTATCGTGCTGGTTTGTCGAAGGTTTCAAACCACTTGTTGGGTCCCAAGGATGCCACCCGGCTGCCGGTGAAGCCTTCTTGGAACCTACCCCCCCCTCCCCAAAGGGTTGCAAGAGAGATATGGAGGGGCATGAACCAAACTTCCAAAGCAGACTTTCTCTGCATCTTATTCCCGTTCTGAGTTCCAAACAGATGTTCCTGAGCGACACAGCGCTTGTTCCTGAGCACGCGGCTCTTAACGGGGCTCGTAGCAACCCCCCCCCCTTCGTTGACGGAGCTTCGTGTCGGACGCGCCTGGTGGGTCCTGCGTGACCGTGGCGAAGCCGAGTGTGGTCGAAGGCCAAGAGAGGCTTCTCCCCCCTCCCCTGCTTTGGAGGGCCATCTCTCCCCCCACCCTCATCTTCAGGCCGAGGCCTAATCATAAGATCAGCAGGCAAGGTGATAGCACAGTTGGCAGGAGCTCGAAATACATCAGCAAAAATGTCAAGGCCTAGGAGACCTTTCCACGCTCGGGGGACTCCGGTTGCCAGATGGCCTCTTGCCAACCAACACCCACCCGCTGAAAGCTCTTTCGCTACCAAAACCACCCCCCACTCTCTCTGGGAGGACTACAATCCCTGGTATTCGTAGGCTGGGCGTTCCCTTTTCCAACTCCATCCTCCCCTTTGCAATTTTTTCTCCCTGGGCTGCGTAGTCTGTTCTCTTATTTTCTGTAGGAAATCTCACTCACTTGTTCCCCTCTGAACTCAGTTCATGCTCCTTAAAAATGGCAGTGAGGTAGGTTTTCCCGCGTGCAGGTAAGCATGAGTATTGGTTAAAGCAGTGTTTCTCAACCTTGGCCACTTGAAGATGTCCGGACTTCAACTCCCAGAATTCCCCAGCCAGCGAATGCTGGCTGGGGAATTCTGGGAGTTGAAGTCCGGACATCTTCAAGTGGCCAAGGTTAAGAAACACTGGGTTAAAGGACTGTCCAGCTGTTTACCATATTTTACGGAGTATAAGACGCGCCCTTTTCCCTCAAAAAAGAGGGTGAAAATCTGGGTGCGTCTTATACATTGAATACAGCATTTTTGGCCTCCCAAAACCCGTCCCCCTTCAAATGGGCCATTTTTGCTCGGTTTTGCCCCCTCCCCCAGCCTCCAGGAGCACTCTATAAGCCTCCTAAAGGCTATGCATGCCCTTTTTTTGGACAAAAAAATGGGCCATTTTTTGGGAGATCTGCAGAGGGCAAAAACTTTTTTTTTTAAATTTGCCTCTTCAATAACCTGGTGCGTCTTATACACCAGTACATCTTATACTCTGAAAAATACAGTAATTTCAAAGCAATTTTTGTGCATTTTCCTTTACTTGGGGCAAGGAGGCTACGTGGGGGGGGGGGGACGACATACCACCTACCCCTTGCCTCTGTTACCCCTTGCCACATTTTCTGAAAACACCTTTTTCCCACTTGCCAAGAATGTGAAGGGCCGGGCAGGTAAACAAACCTCCGTTATTTTTCCACCCGGAGTGACTCCAGGGCTGCCTGAAATGCACCCGACCTCTCAAGCATTTCCCAATCCATGAAAGCACCGAGTTAATTACTTCGCAAACATGCAAAAACAAATCACACTTTCTGCGTCTGGCTGAGAAGATGGACTTCCCAGTGCGAAATCTGGGAAGCTGACAAAGAGGATGCGGGAGAGAGAGACAGACAGACAGACAGACACCGCAGAGGGAGGGAGGGGAATAGAGAGGGAAGCTGCCCACACTTGTGCCTTTGAAAGCATCTGACAAACCGAGCAGGTGCAACGGCCACCAACACACGAGACTTTTATTGGTTCAACTTTTCCGTAGCAACCGAGAGGTTGGAGTGAAGGAAAACACACACAAGCACATTGCAAAAGCCACAGCACTTTCCCACCCAAAGGTTCTGGGCAGAGGTGGGGTGGGCTGGTTTTGCTTTTTTTTTTACCCAAGCTGGAAGTCCGCAATTTGTGTGGCTGAGGCACGTTTCCCCCAGGAACAACCCACCGACGTGGCGAAGCTATTGGGAAGACGCGAGATGCGTTTGGTTGGGAAAAGAATTACTGGTTTGTGCGCGGACTGCAGTCTCTTATTTTACCCAAACAGAAATAAATGTCCTCGGTTCTGAAAAGAGAGAAATGTTCAGCTCTCTTCTCCCATAATCTGCAACGGTGGTTCAAGTCCCACCATTTTATGTGCCCTGTATAGCTTCCACAGCGGTGAGACGCAACCTGTCCGGATCGGTTTGGGCAAACCAGTAGCTCCGACGATCAGCTGCGCGCC